AGTGCCCCCAAAGATCGCCTAAGAACAAGAGGACCCCAAGACGGCCAAAGAGGCCTCCAAGACGCTCAAGATGGCCTCCAAGACGGCCCAAGAGCCCTCCAAGACGTCCTCCAAGAAGGCCCGAAAGGGTCAAAGTGGCCTCCAGACGGCCAAGATGACCTTCAAGATGCCCACGTGTTCCCCGAAGGCTTTCCAAACCGATTCGGGGAACATATGGTCCGATAACTTGGCAGATCTGGCCTCAACGTTCGGCCACATAGGCGCTTCCACGAAGGCAGGGGGCGGAAATGATTCTCCGTAGGCGTCTTGAATTAGGACACCGGCGCCGGTCGTCATATAATTGGCCTGGCGAAGGACCCAACCATATGCCGTTGTGAATAACGAACTTGTGAATATCATCTTCGGTGGAGCTGGGGCCACGAACCGTGTGAGGGGTGTGCCGAAGTGGGCATGCGGTGGGCGGGGAGGGCGCTTGCGGACGCGACCGCTGGGGCCTTCGGTGGAGCTCCCTACGCGGCCACGAACCGTGTGAGGGGTGTGCCGAACTTGGCATGCGGTGGGCGGGGAGGGCGCTTGCGGACGCGGCCACTGGGGCCTTCGATGGAGCTCCCTATGGGGCCACGAACCGTGTGAGGGGTGTGCCGAAATGGGCATGCGGTGGGCGGGGAGGACTCATGCGGACGCGGCCACTGGGGCCTTCAATGGAACTCCCTCTGGGGCCACAAGCCGTGAGAAGGGTGTGCCGAAATAGGCATGTGGTGGGCAGGGAGGACGCATGCGGACGCGGACACTGGGGCCGTCAGTGGAGCTCCCTACGCCGCCACGAACGATGTGAGCGGTGTGCCGAAATGGGCATGCGGTGGGCGGGAAGGACGCATGCGGACGCGGCCACTGGGGCCTTCGGTGGAGCTCCATCTGGGACCACGAACCGTGTGATGGGTGCGCCGAAACGGGCATGCGGTGGGCAGGGAGGACGCATGCGGACGCGGCCACTGGGACCTTCGGTGGAGCACCCTACGCGGCCACTAACCGTGTGAGCGGTGTGCCGAAATGGGCATGCGGTGGGCGGGGGGGACGCTTGCGGACGCGGCCACTGGGGCCTTCGATGGAGCTCCCTATGGGGCCACGAACCGTGTGAGGGGTGTGCCGAAATGGGCATGCGGTGGGCGGGGAGGACGCATGCGGATGCAGCCACTGATGCCACTAGGGCCTTCGGTGGAGCTCCCTCTGGGGCCACGAATTGTGTGAGGGGGGCGCCAGAATGGACATGCGGAGGGCAAAGGCAAGGAGGGGGGGAGGGAGGAGGGGGAGGAGGAAGGAAGGAAGGAAGGAAGGGAGAAGGGAAAGAGGAACGAGGATCCAACACCAAAGGATGGCTGGGAAAAATAAGCGACGGCCTGAATGGCATCATGGATCCTTTGACCGTGGGGTGGCATCCCTCAGTTCGGAAGACCCCCAGGGAGGGACAACTATGAGAGATGATAAACGGATGGGGAGAGGAGGGCGTCTGAAAAACGTCCTGGGCCGTCTGGACCCAGGCCCTCTTGGGCTGTTCTGGACCGTTTTTGCGCGACGAGGAGGACAAACACGAGGAGGGATGTGGAGGTAGAGAAAGAGGACCAAGATGGCAATAAGAAGGATGTGGACGCCAGTCCGACGTGGCGCCGGCTTCGGCATGCACGACATACTGCTCACCCGCGCCCTCGGGCTCGCCGGCTGTCGGCTGCGCCCCACGAGCGTCCCCAGGAGGGCCCCAAGAGGGCCCCAAGAGGGCCCCAGGAAAGTCTAGCAAATGTGGGAAAATGCGGCCGCGTTGCCCCACATCGATTCGAAGTTCCTAGGGCTTTCTTGGAGCCTTCTTGGAGCCCTCTTCTGGCCATATGAAATCCCCCCCTTCTCGTCCTCTCCCCTTCCCTCCTCATCTTCCATCGTGTTCCCAGTGCCGCCCGGTGCTGTGGTTTGCCGTTCGTGGCCAAGACAATCCACATAGTGTACTATCATGTGCGGACACAGTGTCCCCACTGGGGTCCCATCCCCCGGACTAGGCACCGAGGTCGGGGCACCGTCGGGATGTCGAGCAGCGGTCGTGCACAGTGGCCAGATCCACAGGTTGTAATATCGAGTGTGGGCACCACTTCAAATGCGGGATTGTCTGGGCCTGTGCGCATACAATATGCGGACAAAGGGTGCGCCCACAGAACAATCTGCGGACACACGTGTTGTCCGCATGTGGTCCTGGGGTCATCGGGCTCACGCGCGCAGAATCCACACATCGGGGGTGGGGCATCCGTGTTACCCGCGCCGCATCTACAGATCGACGGGGGGAATCTCGTCTGCGCACGCCGAACTCACACTTCGATGTTCTTGATAATCTTTTTTCGATGTTCTTCGCCCCCTGAGCCCAAGCCACCTGGGAGGCAAACAGGCTCCCAGGAGGTCGCGTCCATCTCTGAGCCTAGGGTTGCGAGGATGCCTCAGGCGGAACGAGCCAACCCCCTCCAGGTCAGGGCATCTCTAGACCTAGAGACGCGAGGAAGTCTCAGGCGAAACAGGCTGGACCACCTCGGGTCAAGGCATATCAGGGCCCAGAGTTGCGCGGGTGTCTCGAGCGGGCTGGCCACCTCGCGAGCGGCACCTCCTCCTGCTGCCACACCTCCCTCTTCCTCCTCCTCCTCCTCCTCCTCCTGCTGCTGCTGCTGCCAGTCCTCCTCCTTCTCGTCTCGACTCACCTGGAGAAGGAGGAGGAGGAGAGGAGGACAGTGAGGGTCTGAGGAAGCCGCGCCATGGACGTTGCTGATAAATATCAAATTCGACGAGGTTGTTTCCCATGCGCAATTTTGCAGAATATTCGTGCCAATGGCAGGTCGGTGGAAGGTTTTCGTTCGTTCACCGCGCGCCTCGGTTGATCCAGCTGCGCCGCGTCGGAAGCGAGCGCTGCGTAATCAGCGCTGTCATCTGTTGATTGTGGCGCGGACCACAGGAGGGTTTGGGCGCAGGCGCGCCATTGCACGCCGGAGGTGCTGGATGACACCAGCCCTGCGTCGCTGTAGCGTGCGACTGCGGCCGACTTCACAGAGACACAGATTTCGCATCAGGCTTGCCAGGCGGGCGCGTCGCCACTTGCCGAGCCGCTTGGCCCTCAAGCTTGTCCGCGGGATCGCATCCGCACATTGCATGCACCTGCGGACAATGGCGGCTGGATTTGCACAGCCCTGCAAAGAGAGCATGGCAAACATACCCAAACAGCAACCCGCAGCAGCATGAGCCCGAAGGCAGGAGCGGGGGTCTGTGCCACAGGGATCGCCTCGGGAAGGTACCCCCCGCCCGCAAACGGTCGAGAGACGGGGGGGGGGCACGCTAAGCGGAGCAAGACGGGATGACTCTGCTCGTCTCTGCGGCTCGGCCTGGCGGTTCGCTCGCTCCAACCGCTGTGAGCACCGCGTGGGCGATCGGAGCGCCCGAGCTGAGACGGCAACGGGCGCGGCACGAGGGCGTTTTAAACATGTCCCCAAAAGGCCTTCCGGGGACCTGATTATAGGGAGAAGGTGGGAAAAGAGTGGAGAGGACACGGATCAGAGGGGGGGATGCGAGGGGATGTAGAGGAGCGAGCATGAGGGAGAAACGTAAGGGGGGGGGGGCCTGGCCCAGGGCAGGAAAGATCGGCCTGAAACTGGTGATGCATCGCCGACATATTGGGGAGGGGCCCCCGCCGGCAAGAAAACGCACGGTCCAGGGCGGGGTGGGCGAATCATCGGGCCCCCGGCGGGAAGCAATGGGCGATGGAGGGTCGATGCCTTCCCCCCGGAGCCTGTCAACCCCCTGGCGCTGCCCCGAGTGGAGGAGACGGGGGGAGGAGGTGACTGGAGGAACACAGAACTGCGCAAACAGAAACTGCCCGAGAACTTCGCGGACCTCCGATCATTCATGCGTGCGTGATCATTACTACACCGGCCAGACTTCGATACAATGGCCGGGAAATCTGTTCAAAACCTTTGTTTCTGGAGAGCGTATCGCAAGACGCCGCCTGGCCAAGAAACCGATTTTGCCTTTCGCCAGACTTTTACTTGATTCGCCCGTGCTGTCCGGCGCCCCCCTGAGCAGAAACAAAACTGTTTTGGCTGAGACGTGCTCATGATTCGCTCTCAGACTGGCCACGGCGGCGCAGAATAGCAAACAGCGTCATAAACATGATGTTTCGGAGCTCCGCGCGGAATTCTTGGTGCTGGGCTCCACTCCCTGGCGCGCAGAGCGCGCCTGGGGCGGCGCCGCTAGGAAGGCCAACGCAGATCCAAGAACTCCGCGCTGAGCTCAAAAAGTTTGGGTTCATGGTCCATGTTGTTGGTGTTCTTCGATGGCGGTGCGCTGCCCGCGCCGAGGCGAGAGCTCGAGTAGCAGATCGACTGCAGAATTGATATACCCCAACATGGAAATCTGCGTCGACTCCACGAACAATACGTACACTCTTCGAAGATATATGAACCTTCTACGTATCTCTTCGATTGAGTCAGCGGCTAAGCATTTTTGAGGTACATCAATCCTGTAGTCGACCTCCTACTCGGAGAGCTCCATTTGGACCGACTTTTGGCTAATGCTCGGGGTCGGCCAAGACGAGGGCGTCCAAGAGGGGGGGGCGCAAACTATGGCCGGCGGCATGTGCGCGGCCCAGGGGGTGGCCCGGGACGTAATGAAACAAGAAGAGGCGCCATGAAATCTGGGCAGATATCATGGCCCGCGCCATGATATCCCCCCCTAATCACCATTCCCCTCTTGGCCGCCCCCGAAATGCAGCGAGGTCTGGCCAGAAATGGATCGGATCGGCAGAAATCGGCAGCCGAGTCGGAAAAAGTCGAATCAGTAGAAATCGGCAGACTAGTATGCATCCAGTAAAAAAATCGGAGCCCAAATCGGAATCCCAAGTCGAATCGAATCGGAATCGGAAGCCATCGAAATCGAATCGAATCGAGTCGGAGGAACCGAAGCGAGCCCGCGCCGGGCCGCTCCTGCTGCAGCTGGGCGCACTCGTCCTCCAGCAGGCCCCGCCTCTGCCTGCTGCGCCCACGGAGCGCCTGCGACTCGCGCTCCTCAAGCTGCAGGGCCCGGTGCTGCTGCAGCAGGGACTGGAGCTCCTGTGCCCGTTGCCGCCCTGATGCGCAACGCGCAAGCCGCAGCTTGAAAACGTGGGCCTCGCGCGACACGGTCACCAAAAGGTGGTCAACACGTGCCGCGCCAACACGCAGCGATTGCCTTGACGTGGTGGTGCGCGCCAGGTCTGTCAAAGGCTTCCAACGTTCGCTGCGACGTCTTGCCAAGGATGCTGCTGTGTCTGGGAGCCATGGGTGGTTTCGGATTTGCCGCCCAGGCTGACGCGGCCGAGGAAGTTCATGCATCGTATGTTTTTTGACTCATTGCGAGCTTGTCGTAGAAAACACGGGCGCGTGGAGCCCCCGCGGGGACCAGAGCTCCAAAGCGTGGATCCCTGGGGCGCCCGAGACGGTGTTCTGCTGCATCTTTTCGGGGGGCCTCCTCTGTCCCGTCGCGGCCCTGTGCGCGTGGAATCCGCGTCGAATCTCCACGGCGGACGCGCCGAATCCGCGCCGAATCCGCGCCGAATCCGCGCCGAATCCGCGTGGAACCCGCGGGGACTGGAGCTCCTGCGAGGGCGACGCCGCGACGCCGCGCCCCGACGCAAGCGCGGACCTCGGGGGTGTCCACTGGGACGCACAAGGACAGGCTAATACGACGCGACCCCCCCCCCACAGGAGGCGCACGTCCGAACCGCACATGTCGCACGAAGATCTCACAGCCGACACCGTTCTACCCAGGCGGTACATGGCCAGGCGGTACATGGCCAGCAAGCGCCCGCCACCGAACATCTACACTGCGAGATTGTTCCGAGCGCGCGCGTCACCAGGGCGGCCTGCGCACGCGCAGTAGAAGCATAGTTTGGCTACGTATGTCGACCCAAGAGAGGGGGGCGATCAAGTAGGACGGTTCGTGAAGCATGGCCCGATGCATGGGCGCTGACAAGGGGGGGGGCAGGAGAAGTGTTGACCGACGAAGCGGGGGCAATGAGATTTGGGGAGGGTTCAAGGTCCGCCCCCACCCTCAACCATCACCCCCCTCGTGGTCGCCTCCGAGAATCTGAAACGGCAAGGTCGCGTTTGGCCAGGCCTGAGATGTACCAATCGGATCGGCAACGAAACGGATCGTCCCGAATCGAATCCAATATGGATCGACGCGCACGGGCTCGGCTGGCCCACGCCAAAACCGATGAATCGAAGAAACGAGTCGGATTGAATCGAAATCTGCCTCAGTCAACACATCACTTCCGCTTGCCCATCGTGGGCCCAGGACGGGTTAGAACAGCTATTGAAACCGCGGTGGCTTTCCCCTAGGTGGAGTCATTATGTGTCTTACATAGGTGTACTTATCCAAGTAAGCTGGGATTGGCCAGCTGAGCTGATGCGGATCTGGCTAGCCATCTTCATCATTATTGTAATGCGTGATACTGGTCATCACCTTTGCTGCCAACTGAAGCGAGCTCACAAGAAACAAACGACAGGATAATTCATATATGTAGAGAGAGAGAGAGAGAAAGAGAGAAAGACAGACAGACAGAGACAAAGAAATAACGAGATATCGAGCATCTACGTCGTCATTAACAATGAAATCTGCCCCATATGGAAATGCTTCGGTATCCCTGGTTGCATCCAAGTGCTTGACGTCCCCATTCAGAGCACCAAATCCACAGGAACCCAGAAATGATGACCTTTTCCGTTGGCTGCGTACGAGCATAAATTGCAAGAGTTTACAGTCGTTTCCAGATCCACCCCGATTGCCATGAAGTAGTGGGCGGGGTCCTGGGGAAAGCGGATCCCGAGTCGTTCTAATATCGTCCCAGGGGCCAGAAGGGCTCTGGGAACCTGAAAACACCGAAACAACTTAGGAACGCTTCTGCCGGGCAACCGCTGCCTGTATTCATGTATTCCGGTCTCGGCGCGGCAACCGGACGCTGGAGAGTAATTCCCGATCCTCCAGCCCAGAACGGGGCTCGGCGCTCCCAGTGGCTTGAGCCCACCGGTGAGGGTCTCAGGACATCTCGCACGGGGCAGTAAGCACCTAGGGTTAGGTCGGGCATGTCCCCCTACAGGCGGATTTTGAGAGACAAATTCACAAGATTCAAACAAATGCTCGAACATATTCAAAAATTGTAGAAAAAGAATCCCCAGACTAGGTTTTGTCTATTTTTGACCACTCGTCCTGTAGAGGGGCACGCCCGAGTTAAACCTAGGAAGATATCTCTCGCGCGCGCTCGCCTGGTGGCGATTCGGAGTGAGTGGGCAAAGCGCGGGGGGCGAGCAAAGGAGGACGCGTGGGGGGCAACTCGGCTGCAAGTATATGGCGGGGTTATCGTCCAAAAGCGTCTCGGGGCGACTCGTGGTAATCTATCGGGTGGACGCAAAAGGGGGTCCAGTGACAAGGGGGTGGTTCAATAGATTTGGTGCAATAGATTTGTAGGGTTGCAATGATTACATCCGGTGTGCAATACATTTCGGGGCGCAGATGTATTGCTGTACTTTTGCGTGCAATACACTACTTGCAATACAATGCAATACAATTCTCCAGCGCAGTACATATACAACACTATCGCCCCAAATCTATTGCACCACCCCCTTTCAGCTGGACCCCCTTGTGGGTCACCCCGAATCTAGGTCGCCTGGCGAGCCGAAATCAGCTCCATGAAAATTCTTCATGGAGTTGATTTCGGAGAGAGGAGAGGTTGCGAAGTGTTCTGAAGACTTCGCAACCTCTCTCCTCTACCCCCGCCATGTCTTTCGTCCGCCCGACCGGGGGCTGCCAGTGGTGTGTCTGGCCCACCCAAGGTGCCTCCAACATTTCGCGCCACTTGGGGACCTCCCCGGGTCCTTTGGGCCTCAGGGCCTCCACTCCAACGGCAACGCGGGGGGCACCTTGGGCCACGCCCAGCCATGGGCGGACTAAAAGGAAGGGACGCGGGTCCTGAAGGACTTCCTCGGGGGACCAGCTCTTCGTCCAGAGCCGTTCGCTGGCAGGCAGGGACCCGTGGAGGGTCACGAGCGGCTGGACACGGCGAAAAATCTCAGGACCCGTGGCCTCCCGGGCGAGGCGACGCAGGGCCTGTGCACCGCTTATGATGGGGAGTGATCAGTGAAGGGGGGGAGAAAGGTGCACTTCTCGGGCCCTCACAGGCCCCCCTTTGGGGCCCCAGGGGGCCCCGCTAGGGGCCTTCGAGAGTCCCTCTTCTGCAGCCCTCGCTGCCCCCCCCAATACGCGACGCGCAGAGGGCGGGCGGGCGGGCTCCTGCCGGGACACGAGGAGGTCCTGGTGGTGGTCGTCCCTGGCCTGCGCCGCCTCCCGCCTCGCCTCCTGCAGCTCGCCGCACTCCCGCTGCAGCTCCTCGTACCCGCGCTCCAGGGTGCGCCGCCGCTGCTGGTGCTGCTCGCACATGCGGCGGACCTCCACGGCCTCTCCTGCGGGCCCCGCCCTCCGAGCCGCACTTCGCCGCCCCCCGTGCCCTGGCGCGGTGCGCGCGCCCTCCCGGGCCGCGGATTCCCCGGGGTCCTGGCCCCAGTGTGTGCGCCGTTCTGGGCCGCGGCCAGGAGGGGGCCGCACAGCAGCTTGCACTGCAGGGTCAGGGATGAACCTGGCCAGGCGTGGGGGTGGTGTATCGGGTGGGGAACTCTTGCTCCACGTGTCGCGACGGCGGCCTCCGGCGACACGCTGCCTGCGAGCGCACAGCGTGCCGCTGCGCCTCGCGGGGCGGGCGGCTAGGAAAGGCTTGGGACGCGGGTGCCCGGGGGCTGGGACGCGATCAGCGTGTCGAAGCCGAGGCGCGGTGGGCCAGTTCTGGCGCGACGCGCCGAGCTAGAGTTCCCGGCCGCGGATGCCCAATCTGATGCCAATCTCCTACGAGCGCGTCGCGCTGCTCCAGCATCGCCCGGTGCTCCCGGCGGACGCCGCGCAGCTTCTGGTAGTGCTCGTCGCGGGCCTGCAGCGCGTCCCGGCCCGCGGCCCAGAGCTCGGCACACCGCTGCTGCAGCTCGTCGCGCTCGCGCCCCGCGGCGCGGCGCTGCTGGCTCTCCTCGGCCTCCTCGGCCTGCAGCGCGCCGCACCTCAGCCGCAGCGCCTCGCCTTCCCGGCGGCCGGCCGCCAGCTCCTCGTGGTTTCGGTCGCGCGCCCGCTCGGCCTCCGATCGCGCCGCGCGTAGCCGCTCGCAGACCCGCTCCAGCTCGCCCTGCTCCCCCTCGAGCGCACGCCACCTCCGCTGGAAGCCCTCCCTGGCCTGCCTCGACGCCGACTCCTCGGCCTGCAGCTCGCCGAGCCTGCGCCTCAAGGCCTGGCACTCCAGCCGGTCGGCCTCCCTGGCCTCCCTCGACTCCGCCCGCTCCGCCCGTAGCTCGTCCAGCTGGCCCTGCAGCAGCTGGCGCGCCTGCGCGGAGGATCGCCGGTCGGCTTCCCTGCCGTCTCTGGCCCTGGCCTCCTCGGCCCGCAGCTCTTCCAGCTCCTGGCCGGCGGTGCGCCACCTTTGGTGGTGCAGGTCGCTGGCCTGACTAGCCTCTGCCCCCTCCAGTTGCAGCGCGTCGCAGCGATCGAGGGCCCGCCCGAGCAGCCCCTGCAGCTCCGAGTGGGCCGAGTTGCTCCTCTGCAGAGCGCCGCTCAGCGCCGAGAACCTGCGTCGCAGCTGCTCCACCTCCGAGCCCGCGTCCGGCAGCCGCGAGATCCACTCCGCGTCCGCGGGGGCCTCTCCGCAGTAGCGGGCTGGCTCCATGGCCGCATCAGCGTGGGACGCCGCAACGTACCTTGGAGAGCCCAGCGGCGGGGCCTCCGGGATCCACGTCGGCCATCCCGCCCTGGAGGCGGGGCCCAGAGCGGCGTCCGGCGGCTCGCCTCCAGCGGCCTCGGCGCCGCTGGGGGGCCGCGGCCCGCCGCCGCCCTGCGCCTCGGAACCCAGCGCGCCACCTGGGCCCAGCAGCTGCTCGGGGCCCGCTGGCGGCTGCGGCTGCATCTGCGCGGTCGGCTCGGCCCAGGTCGCCTGCGCCTGCGGCCGCGCCCGAGGCACGACGGGCAGCTGCTCACTGAAGTCCGCGGCCGGCCGCGACTGCGCGCTCACCTCGGCTGGCGCGCGCTGCTGCGCCAGCGCCTCGCGAGGGGGCGTGGTCGGCGGCGTCGGCGAGGCCGGCGTGGCCCCCCGGGGCGCCCGCCGCACCTGCGAGACCTCCAGCGGGATCCGCTTGAGGGGCCGCGGCGGGCTGCCTTCGCACGTGGCGGGCCACTGCGTGCTCTGCACGTCCCGCTCCGCCGCCGGGCGGCGGCGGTCGCCAGCGGCGCCCGGCGAGCAGGCGTTCAGCAGCGGCGCGCGCTTCGAGGGGGAGTTGGCGCCCGCGGAGTCATTCTCCTTGTCGGGCCACTGGGCGCCTGCTCGAGGTCTCGGGTGCGAGGCGGAGATTTTCGATCGGGGGATTGATCTTCGGGGGCCTCGCCAGGCGGTGGAACAGATTCCTATGCTTTTATTTTTATTACCCAGAACCCCCCCACACCTCCCACCCTAAACCGGCCCACCCCCCAGGGACGCCGTGCACGCCCTTTCGGACGTCTCCGCGGCCCCCTGTGCACCATTGGAAAAGGTCCGTTGGCCCTTGCGGGCCTCCCAGGGCGTCTTGCCGGGCCTTGCGAGCAGACTCAAGGCGATCAGAGGGTCATCGGAGAGGCGCAAGAGAGACACAAGACAGCACAAGAGTGCTCCAAGAGGAACCTCGACGCCCCACGAGGCTGTCAAGCGAGCCCCGAAGAAGCACAAATCGTCCCATTCCGTCGGGGGAAAGTATAAACTTAACACATCCGCTGTTTGGGACTTCGCAGCGTCCAACACGGCCCGATGGGCCCCGATATCGTCCCAAGGCGGCCGAAGAGGCCCCCCAGAGAGTTTGAAGACGGCCCAAGAGAGACCCAAGAGATCCGCCTCGCACCCCAGGGATGTAAAAAAGAATCGTGTCCTCAAGGCCCCCATGGCTCGGAGGACGTCGTCCGCCGACGCTGGTGCTGGCCATGCCGGCCCCGAGCCCACGGCCGGTGGGTAAGTACGCCTCCCTCCTGGCCTGACTGGTACCCGCTGGTGCTGGGCCAAGCTGCCATGATCGGCTGTGGTGGATTGCCGAAACCCCATGATGAGAGTGAGGGGGCCGAACGGTCATTCGCTGTCCCTGGGCGCATGGCTGAAGATGGATTCTGCAATGCGGATTGTTTCTGCGTTGTTGTAGGTGTTCCGCTGCATCCTCTTCTCTAAAGAATAAGTGTAGTCGATCGTTCCCTTCGGTGGCCGTTATATTGTTCAATTGAAGGGCTCCGACTGGGGCTCGCACTCTTATTTCTACCAGGGGAAATCTGAAGTCACCAAACAGTGCTGTTGACATCTGGCTTACAACTGCAGCAAGAACCACAACCACAACCACAACCACAGCCACAGCAACCACAAGCACATCCACAACACAACCACGGCAACAACCACGACAACAACCACAACCACAACCACAACCACAACCACAGCCACAGCCACAACAACAACCACAACATCAACCACAACAACCACATTGACGACCAATGCGTTACAAACGACAACAATGAGAACAATAATAATAACAGCAAAAACCACAACAACCACCACAACCACTACCAAAACCACAACAACAACAACAACATCAACAACAAGTATTGTATGACTGATCGCTCCTACCTGCTCACGTGCCAATCAATACGTATATCCCCAAACCTCGGTGCCGGCCCTCGTCGTCTTCGATCGTACCCCCGTGGGGGTATATCTTCCTTACCTGCCACGTGCATCTAGTGCAACCCCTAAAACAATGGAAGAGAAGACGGGTGGACGGGGGAGGGAGAAGAATGGAGCAAGAGAGAAATTAGCAGGAGAGGGGGCAAGTAACATAAACAAATGGTAGAACTAGACGGGCAATTCGGGTGGGCAGACCCATAGCGGACAGGTCGGGAAGGCGGGCCCAGGCGACCAGGTCAAACAGGTGGGTTGCTGAAGCGTGGGTCTTGCATGAATCGCGAAGATGTCTCGAACGATAGCGCGATTCCCAAGTACATCGTGAGAAAAGCTAAACCGAGAGCGTGACTCCTGAGCGCCGAGGGCGCATCGTTTGAATAAGTTGTGAGTAAGTCCCTCGCGAGAGCGAAATTCGTATACAAAGTGTGAGGAAGTCCGGGGCGAGAACGCGATTTGGGGAATCAGTTGTGAGGTGATACCAGGCGGGGGCCTTCAACAACAACAACAAAACAACAACAACAACAACAACAACAACAACAACAACAACAACAACAGCAACAACAACAACATCAACAACAACAATAACAACAACAACAACAACAACAACAACAGCAACAACAGCAACAACAACAACAACAACAACAAGCATTTTAAGTATGTTCGCTCTTACGTGTTGCCCGTGTGTCATTCAAAGCGAGTTCCCCACAACCTCGATACCCGCCCTTGTCGTCTTCGATCACACCCCCTTTGGGGGGGATTGTTTCTCTTGGCGGGGGGCGGCGGGCTTAGACAGGCGGGCAAACCTGAACGGGCGGACAATCCTTCGTGGGCGTACATGTGCCCGCCATTGGAATTGGTGTGGGCCATGCAAAAAAAGACAGGTGAGAACGAGGGAGGGTGGGAGGAAGGGAGGGGGAGGGACGAAGGAAAGGCAAAACGCCAGGAGAGAAGGAGCGAAGATGGGGGCGGTTGATTAGAGGCAGAGAGAGACAGAGAGAGAAAATGAGACAGAGAGAGAGAGAGAGAGACAGATAAGAGAGGTAGAGAAAGTGAGAGAGAGAGAGGGGAGAGAAAGAGAGAGAGAGAGAGAACTAATGAGGGAGGGAGGAGGCAGGAGAGGGGATGGAGAAGGGAGGAGGAAGAGGAGGGAGAGGGGATTGGGCAGAGAGGCACAAGGATGAGGGAAGAGAGGAGGGAGAGAGAAGGGAGGAGAGGAGGGAGAAGGGAGGAGGAAGAGGGAGGAGGAACAGGAAGGTAAGATCGTGAACGTTCGAGGAAGTCCTAGTCGAAAGCGCCGTTCCTGAAGGAAGTCTCGGGCGGGAGCCCACGACGGGCGGGCGGGTCGGGCGGATAAGACATTCAAGCGGGATGCCTGAGTATGGCGAGAGCGCGATTACTAAGTAAATTGTAGCGGCGTCCTTGGCGCAGCGTGTTTCCTGAGCGTCGAAAGCACGATGTCTGAAGAAATTGCATGGAAGTCACAGGCCAGAGCACAATTCCTGAATAAAATGTGAGGGGTTCTCTGGCGGGAGCAGGGGTCTTGACTAAATTGCGAGGAAAGTCAAGACTCAATTGCGAGGAAGTCTCAAACGGGAGCGCCGTTCCTGAGTAAATTGTGAAGGCATCTCAGATGGGAGCGGGGGCCCTGACTCAATGGCGAGGACGTCACAGGCTGGAGCACCGATCCGGAGTAAATTGTGAGGAAGTCTCCGGAGCGGGGGTCCTGAGTAAACTTGGAGTAAGTCTCAGGCAGGAGCCGTTGTTGTTTTAATCCGGGGCCTTCTTGGCCAGAGGCTCTCGGGGTAAATCGTGAGTAAGTATCAACTGGGAGCACTTGTCGTTGTTGCTGGGCCTCCGCCAACTTAATTGAATTGCGATGAAGTCTCGAGCAAGAGCGCCGTTCCTGAGTTCGGGGGCCCCTCTGGCCAGGGTGTCTCGGGGTAACCTGTGAGGAAGTATCGGGCGGGAGCCGTTGTTGTCGTAGCTGGGCCTCCAAGGGTCCACATTTAGGCTCAAGCCAACGCTCGAGCGGGAGCCTCGCTTTCAGAGAAAATGTAGCCGGCGTCGAGGCGAGAGCACGCGGAACCATTTCCAGAGATCAGCAATACTTATTCTTTAGAAGTGAATATTCAACAACCTTAACAACATCAACAACACCAACCACAACAACAACAACTACAACAACAATCACACCACCACCACCAACAACAACAACAACAACAGCAACAATGAAAACAACGGCTCCCGCCGAATACTTCCTCACAGTGTATTTGAGACTCGCGCCTGCGCGGGACTTCCTGAACATGTTTGCAGGGATCGCGCTCTCACGTGGTACTTCCACGCAATTCATTGCGGCGCCGTGCCCCAAAGACTCACAAATCACGCTCTCGAAGCTTCCTTCATGATGGGTTCACGCTTCAGCGATCCGTCTGATCGACCTGGCCGTCTGGGCCCGCCCGCACAAGGAGGGTACGATCGAAGAGGAAAAGGACCAATACTGAAAGATTGGGATACATATGGGTTGGATGGCGCGCGAGCGGGATAGAGCGAACCGTCTCAAAATTAGTGGTGTTGAATTTCTACGTCTACAGAAAAATGAAAGTTGATCCCCCCGCTGGTGACCATTGCATTTTTCAATTCAAGTGCTCCTCCCAGGGCTCGCACCCTGTTCTGTTTTACAAGGGGAAGCCTGGGATCACTAAACTATGTCGGTTGCCCCCGTTTTGCAACAACAGCTACAGCAACGCTCCCGCCGAACACTTCCTTACAATTCTTTTCAAAGTTGCCCTCTCGCCGGGGACTTCCTGAATATTTATTCAGGGAGCGGGCTCTCGCGTGGAACTTCTTCCCATGTGATTGCGGCGCCGTTCCCCAACGATTCGCAACTCACGCTTTCGCCTTGGATATCCTAGGGATGTACTTGGGAATCGCGAAACTTCCTTCATGATGGGTTGACGCTTTAGCGACCCGCCCGCTCGGCCTGGCCGTCTGGGCCCGCCCGCCCGACCAGCCCCTTAGGGCTCTCCCGCCCGAAACGCCCGATTGGTTCTGCCGCTTTTGCTCCTGCTCCCAGCCCTCCTGCAAACCTCTCTCGTGCTGCATCCTTCTCCCTCCCCCTCGTCTCTTCACTCCCCCCTCCTTCCCCTGTTCTAGGGGCTGCAACAACTACTTGCGGCAGGTAAGGGAGATGTACCCCCAAGAGGGGGTACGAGCGAAGACGAAGAGGGTCGGATACCGAGGGTTTGGGACATACATGTTGAGTGGCACGCGAGCAGACAAGAGCGAAACGTCTTGAAACGAATGCTGCTGTTGTTGTTGGTGATGGAGGTGTTGTTGTTTTCTCGTTTCTGAAAATGAAAAAATATTGTTGGTCCCCCCTACAGGCTGTGACCATTGTGCTTGTTCCATTAATATGCTTCTTCCGGGGCTCGCACCTGTGCTTTGGTTTTAACACAACAAAGTTCTGGGTCACCAAACTGCGGCGTTGGGCCCTGAACAACAACAGCGTTGCTGGGCCCCGAACTACAGCAACAACGGCTCCTGCCTGATACTTCCGCACAATGTTCCAAAACATCGCGCTCTCGCGCGGGAGTTCCTCACAATTTACGCAGGCATCGCGCCCTCGCGTACGACCCCCCCGCACGTATGCAAATGCAGCACCGTCGACGCTCAGGAATCGCGCTCTCGCTTGAGAACCCCATCGCGATTCATGCAATACTCACGCTTCAA